TATTAACCAATATCACCCCAATAAATTCAATTAAAAAAGAAATATAAAAAATAAAATCTTAATGCACAGGGGATAATTCCAAACAAAAGTCAACAATAGTGATGATAACAGGAATCTTTACCTTTTTCTGACTTTCACAGAAATGCATTTCATGTTTAACCATTAAGTATAATTTGACTATGGGTTTAGCTATTCTATTCTTTTTTCTTTTTTAAGAGAGAGGGGAAGAGAGAGAGACAGAAACACTGATGTATGAGAGAAACATTGATCAGTTGCCTCGCATGCATCCTGAGTGGGGATGGAATCGGTATGTGCCCTGACCGGGAATCAAACTGGCAACCTTTTGGTACATGGGACGATGATCCAACCATCTGAGCCACACTGGGGAGGACTCTTCTATTCTTAATTTAACTATAATTTATATGTTAATTATATTAATTAAATATTAACTATATGATATATTTATATATTAAGCCAGGAACAGTGAATTTTACCAGATGCACCTTCAGAACCTATTAAGATGACTAAATCATATATGCCTTTATATATAGACTCAACCTTATATTTTTTAAAGAAATCCTACATTGTCAAGGTGAGTTATTCTGAGGTGTTATAAGGTAGTGGATTAAGAATATGGGCTCTAATGGGTTCAACTATTATCCTTTCCTTCCTCACTGTATAACCTTGGGCAAGTTTTATTTCTCTGTGTTTCTGTCTTCTCATTTAGATATAACGGGCATAGTAATAATATCTGCCTCATAGGTTGTAAGAATTAAATGAATAGATAAAACACTTAGGACATTATCTGGCGCATAGTAAACATTATCCAAGTGTTTGTTATTAAATCAGCTGTTGGTGTTTACTTTTTTAAGTCTATTTATGAGGTTGGTCTGTAATTCTTTGTGCTATTGTTGGAAGGCTTTGATATCAGACCCAGACTAGTTTGTGGAAAAAAACCACGGATGCTTGCATCAGTTTCTATGTAACAGAATGCAAGTTCTTGCTTGTACTATTTAAATACATGGTAATGACCTCTTTTGTAAGATGGGAAGGAATTCACATATAGAACTCTATAGTTCCCATTTGTTTCTTGGAAGATATTCTTTGTCAACTTTTTCAATCTTCCATGGCTATTGGATTATTGGGTTTCTACTTATCAAATTAATTGTACAATAATTTGTATTTCCCTAGAAATTGTTCATGTAATAATCCCATGTATAATAGCACAGAATTATGTGTAGTATTCTCATCAATTAAAAAATTTCTCATAGATAAACACCGGGAAATTGCTGCCTCCCACAATAACTTCAAAAATACAACAAAAAGACAAAACGAACATCATCCAGAACTACAGGAAGGCTGGCTGAGTGTAAATTCTACAACTAGAAGGAAAGAAAAGCACACTGAGAGCCAGAGGAGCTGTGGAAGTAAAGTGCAGAGGTACGGAGGCTCGCGCGCGCGGAATGGGGTTGGCACCTGAGGTCGCGGCTGTCTTTTTGAATCGGGAGGGAGTCACAAGCTCCCAACTGCTCTGAACTCCGGTTCCGGGAAGTCTTTGGGGACCCAGGACTCATACGGGGAGAAACTGAACTGTCTGGCAGCAGGCAGAACTCGGATCTTGGGGGCGGCTTTCCCTCAGAGGTGCTTGCAGCAATTACCGGGATGCAGAGACGCGCGGCCCCTTAGGGCAGGGCTGAGAATCCGCCATAGCTGCTTGCTCCGCCCTTTGATTCCCTGAGACCCCGCCCCACCCAGGCTGTGGGCAGAAGCTTTTGCATATGAATGCCCCGGCCCTTTGCAACCTGAAAATTACCTAACTGCAGCTGGGCCAGACAGACCCAGAACTTCCAAGAGAAGGCCCAAGGCCCCACAGCAGCTTGCATTGCTTCACAGCTGGGCCTCATCAGGGCACCTCCAAACTCCAAAAAAGGAAGGGGAATCTGCAGTTCTCTTCGTAGCTCCTGCTGTGTAACCTCAGGCAGAGGCTAAATTAGCACCTCCTTAGATCCAAGAGCCAGTGTACCCAGTGGTCAGAGGGGGACCACCCAGATTACAACTCCTCAGATCCATAAGGGACACACTCAGGGTACAGACTCAGTGAGCACCAAAGCCCCACTGAAGCAAGTCTTGCCCCAGAAGGGTGTCTTCAGCACAGAAGTTCTCCCACTGCAGACACAGCTAATTCTCACTGCCAATTGGCCTGGAGGTCAATTCCTCCCAGTGATCCTACAACAATCAAGGCATAACTACAATAAGACTGTGCAAATAGCCCACAAGGGGGTTCACCAAGAGTGTCCACCTCAGGTAACTAGGGAGGCTGAGCCACTGGGCCCTATAGGACACCTAGCACACAAAACCACTCTACCAACATAGGGAAGCATAAAAAATGCGGAGACAAAGAAACAGCTCACAAATGACAGAAATGGAGGAAAGCAAACTACAGGATATAGAGTTCAAAGCCAGGTTTATAAGGTTTTTCGAGAATTTAATGGAAACCGCCGATAAATTTAGTGAGACCCTGGAGGATATGAAAAAAGACCAACTAGAAATTAAGCATACACTGACTGAAATAAAGAATAATATACAGAGATCCAACAGCAGACAAGAGGATCCCAAGAATCAAGTCAAAGATTTGAAATATGAAGAAACAAAAAATACCCAACCGAAAAAGAAAAAAAGAAAAAAGATTCCAAAAATATGAAGATAGTGTAAGGAGCCTCTGGGACAACTTCTAGCGTACCAACATCAGAATTATAGGGGTACCAGAAGAAGAGAGAGGGCAAGATATTGAAAACCTATTTGAAGAAATAATGACAGAAAACTTCCCCTACCTGGTGAAAGAAATATACTTACAAGTCCAGGAAGCACAGAGAACCCGAAACAAAAGGAACCCAAAGAGGACCACACCAAGATACATCATAATTAAAATGCCAAGAGCAAAAGACAAAGAGAGAATCTTAAAAGCAGCAAGAGAAAGAAAGTCAGTTACCTACAAGGGAGTACCCATACAACTGTCAGCTGATTTCTCAATAGAAACCATGCAAGCCAGAAGAGAGTGGCAAGAAATATTCAAAGTGATGAATGCCAAGAACCTACAACCAAGATTACTTTATCCAGCAAAGCTATCATTCAGAATAGAAGGTCAGATAAAGAGCTTCACAGATAAGAAAAAGCTAAAGGAGTTCATCACCACCAAACCAGCATTATATGAAATGCTGAAAGGTATTCTTTAAGAAGAGGAAGAAGAAAAAGGAACTCTTACCATTTGCCACAGCATGGATGGAACTGGAGAGTGGATAAATACCACATGATCTCACTCATTTGTGGAATATAATGAACAACATAAACTGATGAACAAGGACTGATCCAGAGACGGAGAGGCATTGATTGGACTGTCGGGCCTTGGAGGGAAGGTAGGGGAGGGTGGGGGTAAGGGGGAAAGATCAACTAAAGGACTTATATGCAAGCATATAGGCCTAACCAATGGACACAGACAACTGGAAGGGGGGGGTGAGGGCATGAGCGGGGGGGGGGGGGGGTTAGAGGGTAACGTGGGGATAAGGACACATATGGAATATCTTAATCAATAAAAAATATATTAAAATGCAAAAAAAAAAATTTCTTCATGAAATGGGTTTTATAATCCCCTACTCAGGATTCATTTTAAGTATCTGTTTCCTTTTTCATTTTCATGGTTTAATCACCAGTAGATTTTTTTCCATGCTGTACACTCTGGTCTCAGTGACTTCGCTTACATTCTGTTTTCCCTGGCTCCTTCTCCTATCTTACCTTTCAAAATATTATTTTATTTTCCAAGAATATCCTCCATAAAAATGTTTCCAGTTATGAAATCTGACACAGAACCTAGACACAGAACCTAGACACAGAACCTACACAGAACCTAGAGACAGAAGAACTTCGCTGGAGAGAACATGGCAAAAGATCCTGGACAGAAACTGGCCACAGAACCTAGAGACAGAACCTAGCGAGAGAACCTGGCTGAAGATCCTAGAGACAGAACCTGGCTACAGAACCTGGATAGAACATGGCAAGAGAACCTGACTAGAACCTGGTGACTGAACCTGGCTGGAGAACCTGGACAGAACCTGGCTGGAGAACCTAGCAAGAGAACATGGACACAGAACCTGGCTGGAGATCCTAACCAGAACTTCGCTGGAGATCCAGAAAAGAACTTGGCTGGAGATCCTGGCTAGAGATCCTGGCTAGGCTGCTGATCAACTGAACGCTGTCTCCGTGTCATTCCTTCTTCGCCGACTCTGTCCACACCTTTGGGGACGCCTGGACCTGCTGGGGTTGGACCCCAGCACATAACCATTTCCCGGGAATATCATTGTGTATTTTAAGAGTTTTACCACAATTTGACAGTTTTCTTAGAAGTACATACTAGAATCTTCAGCATATAAACTGTTTCAGTCAAAAACCTCCGAACCCATTCAGCCTCCATTGTAAACATCAACAGTATTCTCCTCATTTAAAAGCTTATACACAAATTCTGAGCTCTATAAGCAGGAATTCTTAATGTTTGAAAGCACATTTTTGTGAAAACGCCACCTAAAATAGCCGGAGGTGTAAATATTATCTGTATACGCTTCATTTCAGAGCTTTCTACCTGTAATCTCGGTAACTGAACTCGGCATTAAATGTAGTAAGACTCTTAAAAAAAAAAAAAAAAAAAAAAAAAAGAAATCCTCCCAGACACACTTTCTCCCTCTTCTGAATTCCCAGAGCCCCTCCTTAGCTATATATTAGATTTTCCACTATAATTCTCTTGTCCCCACGGTTAGACTTGATTATTCTGTGCAAAAGGTGGGGCCTCTGTCTCCCTCATCTTTGAATCCCTTATAGCATCTTACACACAAAAATACTTGATTCAATGACTGCTAAGCACTGAATGACCCTTTTAGATAATAAAAAACATGTTAATTCTGAATATCTAGAGGACATCCAATTTAGCATAGAAAATCTTCTAAAATAATTACCTGAACTGGTCCATTAAATAGTGAAGAAATTCCTTTATTTCATCCACATGATGGAAGCTAGGAAGGTGTCCTCCAAGTGCCTGGCAGAATCTCTCAGCTTCTTCCCAGTTCCTCTTTCTTACAATTCTTTCTATATGAAACAGCTTAACAAAACAGAATGTATCATCATAAAATACCGATTATTTTAAAATCAATTACAGTCAAATGTATGGGCCTCTGAAATGGATTTGTATAGATGTAATGAAGATGTACGTAAATGCGCATCTACTGTGTCTCTAAAGGCCAGCACAGGTGCCAGCCACTGGGTCCAAGCGATGACCTTCCTCAGCCAGGCTGGGGAGCTGTTCCAATAATTTACCAGGTTCTCCTGCCTTCTTAGGACCTGGACAGACCAGTTGAACCAGCAGATAAGGCTGTAAAGGATACATATGAATGTATGTGCTAACAATATAATTCTGAACATAATTACACTGAGAGCTGCACAGGAAGTACAGAACTATTTTCTGATGAAGAAGAATCAAAGGGCACACTGCACTGCTGTGGGAACACTGACCATTTCCTTGGTTTGTGACGACTAATGCTATGCCAAAAGAACCATAGTCACTGCAAAAGAAGAGGAGGAGGAGCAGAGGACACAATGGTAGATTGAATTATTGGTCCTGACTCCTCAGTTCCCTGCGATATAATTACATATTCTTGCCATGACCTCCAGGTGGGTGAAGTACACTTTTCTGTACACTCACTAGGGGCTCCACCAGGTGACTTGCTGTGATCAATGGGCTATCAGTGGAGGTAAAGTGAGCAGAAGCCTGAAATGTGCTTACATGGTTCGACTTGACTCTCAGGTTCCAGTGATTGACTGTGAGAAGAACAAGCCCCTGATAGCTGCTGTCCGCTCAGCCTGAGACCCAAACTGAAGCATAGCAGATCCCAATGCATAGCCCGGAGACCAGCATAGCTGACCCACAGCTGAAAGCAGAGCTGACCATTCAAGCCCAAACTCTATCAGTCAACATGAGACTGTTTATTGTCATAGGCTCTGAGTTTTGGGGTGGTATGTAATCATTTCTTTGTGGAAACAGTTAACTGATACAGAACCCTTTTTTTTTTTTACATTATAAGATGTGATAGAACTCTTCTTCTGATTACAAGAATTAGAGGGACATGAGAATCATAAGCAAAGTTTCAGCATGGCATGAGGCTCACCCAGCTTCTGGGAACAAAAGAACCCCAGGGAAGAATCAGTTCTGACTCTGGCCTGCTCTTTGGGGTAGGACATAAGTTAACATGGGAAGAGCTGTCTGGTACCAGAGATTCATTGATGCCCTCCCTGACAAGGACATGGATTGTAGGTGAATAACTTCACTGAGGAATTGAGTGAGAATGTTACATTACCTTATAACAAGAAAGACTTGGGGGAAAATTTTGCCAGCCTTCGGGACAGGGGTCTTCAGGCTTGGGGGCTGCTTCTTCAGGCTCAGCAGGCGCACTGCTTTTCTTGCAGATTGAAAGTGCTCTGAAGCTTTTGCAGTCTTTTACCTCCCACTTCCCAACGGACTTTCCAGTGGTCATAGCCACGCACCCGCCTGGAGAAGCTGGGGTTGAATGGGAAAGTTTAATTAAAAATCACATTTTAAAATTAAAGTCCAAACATTTCCCAGTGTCCTTACTCTTATCTGAGCCAAGCTGGGGGAGAGAATAGAAAAGAAATGTGGCATTCATAATAATGATGATGATGATGTGATAATGACAACAGTAATATAGAGAAGTGTTTGCTAATGTTTGCCAAGTACTATTCCAAGAGGATTAAATGAATTGAATCCTCATTAAAAAAAAAACAAACCCATAGAGTGGATTCTGAGGTAGAGTGAGCATGAGTGACCTGTTCAAGGTCTCACGTTAGTAAGTGATTGACCCAGGACTGGAAACCAGTACTATGTGCAGAGCTGTGCCCTAAACCATTATGCTGCTCAGCATAACCTAAGTGCTTTGAACCACTTTAAACAACACAGTAAACCTCAAAACAAAACCCTTAAAGATTCACATGCAAAAAAGGGCAGGTACAATAAAGGTAGAGGAGGTATATGTGTGTTTACTATTTATTTTATGGTAGGTTGAATTTTATTCATTCATACAACATTAAAAGATAGTTTATATTATTACATCCATTTTCCAGATAAGAATAAGTGACTTGCCCACAATCATAGTTAGTGAGTGGCCAGGTTTGTCTGGCCAAGTGCCATTCTCCCTTGTCCATTATACCACACTGCCCGAAGTGGGCACAAAAGAGCATGCACTGGAAGTAATGGGGGCAACTCCCACTGAACAGAGAAGCTTATGGTCTCACATCTCACACTTACACATGGACAGTAAGAGGAACAGGACCTGGGAAAAACAATGCTGTGTTACCCAGGATGAAAGTGCTATTTTTCTCTGGTTCTGCCTCCTTGCTTGCCCATGATAAACCAAGCTGCTGAAGCTGGGAGTAATCACGGTAAAGAAAAGCTGAATGTCAGGCCTTCTGGCTATAGGACTGAGAGAATAGACATTGTAGTTACTTCTTTTTTACCGCAGCGTAGTATTCCATTGTGTAGATGTACCACAGTTTTTTAATCCATTCATCTGCTGATGGGCACTTAGGCTGTTTCCAAATCTTAGCTATGGCAAATTGTGCTGCTATGAAGATAGGGGTGCATATATCCTTTCTGATTGGTGTTTCTAGTTTCTTGGGATATATTCCCAAAAGTGGGATTACTGGGTTGAATGGGAGTTCTATTTTTAGTTTTTTGAGGAAACGCCATACTGTTCTCCACAGTGGCTCACTCATTTGTGGAATATAATGAACAAAATAAACTGATGAACAAAAACAGATCCAGAGACAGAGAAGCATCAATCAGACCGTCAAACTTCAGAGGGAAGGTAGGGGAGGGCGGGGGTAGGGGTAGAGATCAATCCAAGGACTTGTATGCATGCATATGAGCCTAACCAATGGACACAGACACCACGGGGGTAAGGGCATGAGTGGGGGCGGGGGGGGGGGGCAAAGGGAGGATAAGGACACATATGTAATACCTTAATCAATAAAGAAAAAATAAAAAATAAATAATAATTTTAAAAAAGAATAAATAATACTTACAATATATTGCCTCCTTAATTCTCACCCATTGTGGATAACAGAAGCAAACACATTCAATTTTGGAATAAGAAGTTAAGAAGCAGAGGGATGAAAATATAAAGTGCTTCATAAAGAAGCTTCTAGATTTGGCTTGAGACTTACATGAAAAAAGATAAAATAAAAATACTGACACGGAGGGTTCTAGCCCTATGCCATTAGAGGGTGGTTTCTGAGAACTGAGTTTTCTAGACTCTTTTATTGGGTTATTATTTCCAAGAACTTAATAAGGAAGACATAGTCACTGCTTCTATTTATGGTCCCATAACTAGATTCTAGCCTTGAAGATCATAATCTCCCTCACATTTCAAAGGTAAGCAAATAACATATAGAACATATTTGGGAGATACGCTGCATTTCACAAGTCATAAGTATTCTATTACTTTAAAGGCGAAGACACTCACCTGGCTCAAGAAAATTCCAGTTGGAAAAGGTTACAGATCGCTTCACTCCACCAACACTTGCCCAGCTATACTCTCCACTTGAATCTACATCTCTCAGGCCAGTCCAGAAGTATTTTTCTGGAGATTTAGTATACTTCTTAATCATATCATTCAGGAATTCTTGCTCAAATCTACAAAACAAGAGTCAAATTATCAGGTGTTTTTACAATGATTGAATTACTATATAAAATTGAAGATGTACCTTTTTTTTAGAAGGTTGGTTAGCAAAGGAACCCAGAGATAGAAGTTCACTAGTACATGTTTACTGGTGGTCGTACCTGTTAGCTATAGTCAGATTGCAGTTGGTTCCAAAAGGGACCTCATCCTTGTAAATCTTGTAACAGGTTTCTCCATGTCTCTTCCAGCCCTAAATCAGAGAAGAAATACCATCAGCCACACTGTCTTCCAGACTTGATGATGCCTCCCTCTGACAAGCAAGGTTTTGCTAACATCTCACAACTTAGGGAAACTAAGGACATAGGAACCTACTTCATACACATGAGTAGGGTGGGGTAGAATTTCAGATAACCCCAACAAGACTGTGAGCCTGTGTCAACTGAAGGCGTATCTTAGTTTTCTCTGCCCTTACTGCCTACCTCATCATAAGAATATAACGTTGTTAGTTGACTTGTCTTTGAACAGGAAGAACATAAGTAAGGGAAATAAAGATAACAGCATTGAGGATAGTAACTATATACATTTTTATAGAAATTCACGAATAGGTAACTCTTTTTCCTAGAACTTTTTTTTTCTTCTGTAAGAATACTGATTTGCTTTGCGCTCTGCCTTGCTCTAATGTAAATGAACAGAAGCTAGTAATTCTTCTACTTCCCATGTCTGACTTGCTGAAGTCTCAATTACCATCCCTTACCAAGAAGGTGTAATACTGCTTAGAAAAATGTATGCAGGAGTTTTACATACCTCATCTGGAGGACACATCTTATCAGTTCTTGCATCACTCATTTTTTCTCCCTTTTTCTTACATACATATTTAAGTTTCTCTTCACATGACTGGACTTTCCACTGACCTAGCTTTTAAAAAATAGAAAAAAATGTTCCCATAAGAGATATTATTTGCCATATATTTAGACTTGAACTCTAACTTAGCTTAAGTCACAATAGCTTCTTCTCATGAAACTTTGGGGGTAGGGGGTTGGGGGTTTTGAAAGAGAGGGATAGGGCAAGAATGAATATAAATGAATGATGACATCTGAGAACATACTCCTAGAAAATGCTACCCAACCAGCCTGCATTATTTCAGAATCACCTCAAGGTCACAAGGGAGATGAGTTTCAATTTTCTTATACAAGCAAAAATAAAACCATCAATGGATAGAAGTTGGAGAGAGAGAACTCAGCCCACAGCTGCCTGTGTTTCTAGTCTCCTTCCATATGACATGGCCAACGTGAGTCCACAGGCTAAAAACTTTTGGGCATGTCAACTAACCTTCCTGTCTGTTTCCTCATATGTAAAATGACGATGGTTAGAATAGCTTCTCTCCAAGAATTCTAGGATCAAAAGTTTCTCCCAACTCTACTTCAGCTTTAACTTCAAAGTTCTCTCTTTCAAATATTCTACTTAATATTTATTTTGCTTACTTGACTAACCCATCCTGCTTCTTCAAATTAAATTTTAATTAGTCAATTTTGATAAGGTTTCTGAGAACAGAGTTTTCTAGTTGGACATTGGAATGCTGCCTAGGAATGCTATTAGTTCACTCTTGCCTATGGGGGGGTCATTTCCACCTTTGACATTCTTCTAAAGACATCTTAGATATCCTTTTAAATAGGACAGCAAATGTGACAACCTTCTAAGTTAACCTTTGGCAACTTTCTAAATACATCTTTACCCTTGAAACACTTCTAAATACACATACCACTGATTGTTTCCACTAGGATCTCTCTAGAAAGTCGGGAGACACAATCAGCTTCCTAAATAATTAGCAGTCTACAGGAAAGTGATACAAATAAAATACAGAGATATACATGTTCTTTCTGTCAAGATACAGCATCCTATCTAATAAAAGACAAAAAGGGTAATTGACCGTACCTTCGCTATGCTTCCCATTGGCTAATCAGGGAAATATGCAAATTAACTGCCAAGAAAGATGGCGGTTGACTGCCAACAAAGATGGTGGTTAATTTGCATACGTAGGCATAATGATGGGAGGCGAAAGGGGAAGGACGGTGATTGGAAACCCAGGCGGCAGGCAAGAGCCGGTAGACCCGGCCCTGGATTGGAGAACCGGGGCCGCTTTTGCCCACCCCCCAGCCGGTGATCTGAGAAGCCTCTTCCTGGCGCCCCCTGCCCGGGATCGATGACTGGAGAAGCCCCCCTGTGCGCCTGCCCCTGGGTTGCCGCGGGGATCCCACAGCAGGAAAGGGCGGCCTGCAGCCACCCCCCCTGTGCACCTGCCCCTGGGTTGCCGCGGCGATCCCACATCAGGAAAGGGAGGCCTGCAGCCAGCCCCCCTGTGCACCTGCCCCTGGGTCGCCACGGCGATCCCACAGTAGGAAAGGGCGGCCCCACCCTGGCCACAGCTCAAGGGAGAGTACAACATGCAGTGGAGGCCAGGAGCCTGAGAGATCAACAGAGAGGGGCGCCTGCTCCAAGCCTCCACGGTGTAGCTGGGGGCAGGCCCCAAGCAGACACACACACACACACACACACACACACACACACACTGCCTACTCTGAGCCTCCAATATGGCTGGGGGCAGACCTCCAGCGGGGACACACACACACACACACACACACACACACACACACACACACACAGCGTCTGCTCTGAGCCTACGTGGTGCGGCTGGGGGAAGGCCCCAGCAGACACATACACACACACACACACACACACACACACACACACACACACACACGGGACACCTGCTCCAAGCCTCTGCTGCCATACTGTGGCCATCAGTAGGACATCTACTGAGGGCTCCCGGACTGAGGGGCAGGCTGGGCTGAGGGAACCCTACCTCCCAGTGCACGAATTTCATGCACCGGGCCTCTAGTGTTTAATAAATGTTTAAGCATTCTACAGGAGCAAAATGCTCTCTGAATAAGTTAGACTTAAATTTTGATAAAATTATTTTTTTACTTCTTTAAAAAAATTTAAATGTATTGATTGTAGAGAGAGGTAAGTATGGGAGGGGAGAGAGAGAGAGAGAGAGAGAGGAGAAACACTGATTGGTTGCCTCCTGTATCTGCCTCTACTGACTGTTGAACCTGCAATCTGGGTATGTGCCCTGACCAAAAATCAAATCCACCACCTTTCAGTGTACATGACGATACTCCCACCAACTGAGCCACACCACCCAGGGCTTTTTTACTTTTTAAAGTAGGATTCATATGAAATTTAATCTGAATGTGAATTCAGAAGATGAGATTTTTCAACTGGCTACATGTTAAATATCACACCGATGATCCTCAGAGAAAGCATCTTATTAGAACCAACATGGCACTAGAATCTGAGTTCTAAAGGGATCCTCTTGATCTGTTTCAGACCAGAGCAGATACTCTCAGACAGAAAGTGAGTTGCTTACTTAGTCATTGTTTTATTTACTTTTTCAATAGCTACCAGAAAGACACTCTCCAAGGCTCTTACCTTTTATCTTATTTTCTAGCTTAAACACAAATATCCCCACCAAATATTATTATCATATAAATAAACCCAGGAGGTTTCCTACCTTTCCTAAGTAGGACACACAGTTAGGAGTCTTATTGTAGGGAACACTTGGTTCATTTTCATCCCAATATGTTAGAGTAACTTCAGTACCATCTGACCACTGAAATAAAGCTGGTGTATTTATGTTCTTAAGACCTGTCCATGTTTCTTCTTTGGCATCTAAAAGAAAAATGTTTTACTTGTTTGGTTTTACTCAATTGCATACCTCAGTGTGTACATTGCTACTGATTTTTACATTCTGATGTGGGGTTTTAAGAACTTTGACGGTATTATTTTTTCATTTAAAGTTTTAATTCAAAAGATGGCATTCTTCTTTATTTATTTTTAAGTATAGTTGGTATACAATCTTATATAGTTTCAGGTGTGCAATATAGTGATTTGACATTTTCATACCTTATATTGTGGTCACCCCACTAATTCTAATAAGTCACCTGTCACCATGCAAATTTATCACAGTATCACTGACTATATTCCCCTTCCCCTTTTCACCCACTGCCCTCACCCCCTCTCTCTGATAACCATCCATTTGGTATTCTTAATTGACCTGTTAAAATGTTGATAAGTCAGGCAGGCTGAGTGATTTGGGCTTTTCAGCTCACTCGTCAGGTAGAGCACACAGGTGGAACAGCTGTACTATGACCTGTAGGCTGGCTGTTCCTAATATCTGGGTTAGATAATTCTTGCATTATGGGGAATAATAAAATTATATAGATATACTCATAGCTATTCCAATTAGAATAAGAATATTGCCCATCACCACCCTGGTAAAACAATTGACTCCATGCTTACAACAGAACAGGTATCTACTATTAGTGAATCCTAGGAAGTTTTAATACTGGCAGTGTAGCATATTTTTGTTCTTCAGTCTTTAGCTTCAAATAATTACAAAAGTGAAATAATCATCACTCAAGTGTTTGGAGAACTTAAATAGAATTTAGCTTATGAGAAGAGAAACATTATCCAATCAACTAGCTGCCAATGTGGCTATTTAATCTTGTAAATGAATTAAAATGAAATGAAAGTAAAAATTTAGTCAGTTGCCCTCGCTGCATCTCAAAAGCCACAAGTGGTTGGTGGCTACCATACCGGACAGCATGGATTATAGAAAGAACGATTTCATCGTCACAGAAAATTCTATTGGACAGTGCTGAGCTAGAAGAATCTAATTGTAAGCTTTCCATTCCGGCTAAGAGTCTGAAAATAGGAATACTTTAAAATGTTTTAGACCTCTCAAGTAGGATCTTTTTAAAAACTTACCCCCATTATGGAGTTTTGTTACTACCAATTCCACGTCTGCTAAAGAATGAATGCTGATAAGGTCACTACTGAAGTCTTTGCATTTCGCATGTGCCGAATCCCAGGAATCACTTTCATTCACCAGCAGATAGCAAAATCCATTATTTGGCAGCCAGTCTGCATCACAGCGGGTATCTGAATATGGCCAAATATCTGGGAGAAAAACAGCTATTTATATTCCAGGAAAGACACATCTATTTTGAATCAATAACATTACAAATTCTTCTTTCTTGAATCTTGAGGCTTCTGGAAAACCGGGGAATGTGATGTCAGATAGTACAGTGACATGAATTTGTGTGCCCAATGCCTACATAGCATCAACAGAGTGATTGTAGGGATTCAGATAATGATGGGCCTTGTGCGATGCAAATATATTACATGGCTGGGCTCAGACTATTTCAGGAGGGATTGCCGTTAGGCCTAGTAGGCAGAAGAAAGGTGTGGGGTCAGCCAGTGGCCCACAAATCTCTTCTTTGGCATGGGATTTGTTCGGTTCCTCTCTAGTCTTGGTGGTGAGAGATGGTGAGGTCAAGTCTCCTTTTCATGTATAGTTAGCTTAGCAGGGGCTTGCATTAATATTCACTGTTCAAAATAATCCTCCTTTGTTCAAAAGGATGGGCAAGGACTTAAGGAACAGAGTCAGAAATTAATACACTCCACACCAAGGAAGGGCATCAATGGGGCAGAGGTGGGGCGGGGGGAGAATGGGTGGCAGAGGGCATCTTTGGACTCCTCTCTCCTCCCCTCTGCTCAACTTCTAGGCCTATGGAATTAGCAATTTTTCTTTTTGACCATGAGGAAACTCACCCAAATGATGGTCAAAAAGATTAGAGAAAAAGAGTAGGGCACAAAACCAAAAAAATACTCTACTCTTCTCAGCAGAACTAGAACGTAGCTTGGTTCCTCAGACTCCACTGGTCAGGAATTGTTTGGAATGCTTGTTATACACAACACAGCATTTAAAAAATATCAACAGTTTGTTTTTCATTAAAGGATAAAATTCAGGATCAGCTAGCTTTTCTCACTTGCAAGATAACAATTAATTGTAAGGTTCTGAAACAGCACTCATTAATACTATATTTTATAATTATGATAAAGAAACAGAGAGAAAAAAATCACCCATAATTGAACAATCATTTTCCTATTCCAGTCTTTGTCTCTATGAATTCATATTGTGATAAGATTAAAATAATAAGTAGGCATATCATTTTGTTCTGCTCTTTTTATTTTCCTGCTGGCAGAGTTATTTCAATAAATGCATATTTTTCAATCATGTGGAAACATGATTTAGTTAATCATTACTTCTTCAGAGAGTTATTTGATCTATCATTAGCCCCCCTGGTTTATTTTAATTTGTGCTGTCTTTTCTATTATGCCTTTTGTTATATAAACTAAATTTGGTATGAATCAACTTGGAAGGTAAATGTTCATCTTTCCCTATCATTTTAAAACACGCCTCTATATTATTGATTCTATGTACTTATTTTTTAATCTTAAAAAGATAGCTTTATGCATCTATGTGGATATGAAAATCGATGCTTTATTCCCTTCCCCCAACATCCCTCAAAGCACAACATTTAAAAATCTCCCATTTTCCTCCCAGTTTTGAGTATTAGTTTTTCTTATTCAGGTTAATCAAATGCCAGGGATACGGTGGGCACTGTGCAAGATAGTAAGGGCACTCCTCTTCTCCATTCTGCCAAAGACTCCTCAAACTTCTCTGCTCCTCAAAAAATTCAGCTGTTTTGTGCCTCTCTTATCCCCAAATTCCCTAAAAACACCCTCCTTATACACATTTTGTCCTTTTGCACCTCTCCGTATCTACCCCATTTATCAATACAAAGACCTAAAGAACCAGCCTGGCGAAGGACAGACAGAGGAGGGGTGGGCATTGTGGGCCGGGAGGTGGGAAAGCCCGGGAGTGTTCGGTGTCATCCATTTTCGATTTCCCACAGAGGCAGGTAATAATAGGTAAAGCCTGAGTGTGCAGCAGCAGCACCAGGACGCTCACAGAACACAGACAGCTGGGTCCCACCCTGAGTTTCTGATCCAGGAAATCTGAGGTAGGTCCCGAGAATCTGCATTTGTAGCAAGTACAGGCAATGCTGATACTCTCTGTCTGGGGGCCACACTTTGGGAACCATTGCTCCAGAGAAAAAAGAGCCACCTGTGAACACAAATGTACTTCTTATCTAGAATACTCCTGTCTTCTCATGGGGAGATACTGAATCAAAGCTTTATTCATATACAGTTGATAATATCTAACCACAGGATCAAAGTCAATACCTTCAGCATTGGCAGTACCAGGTAAAAGAACGGCAGAAATGGGTGTCCAATGGATTTACTTGACTTCAAAAAACTGTAATTTTAAGAGCTGTTTGTTTAAGCGGGAAAGATACCTGTTATCTCCACTGTGCTGTTCAATGATTTCTTGCAAACGTAAGGCAGCTGAGCTTCACAGGAAAACCTCTGCCACAGACCGGACATGGCGTCCATGCTCGCACAGCTTGACCCACCTATCACAGTTGCACTGAAGGTATCTGAAATGATAACATTTCCAAACAGTTAAAAGGAGAAGACTGGAGCCAGGGTGATGGTTAGGAAAAGTAATTTGTATTTTTAATTTTCTGCTTTTAAGGAAACTCAGAAAATAGTTAAAACCGTCTATTAAGTTGGAATGTATAAGCCACAATGAACAATCTTGTGCTTAAAAATGTCTTTCTCCTAAAATACAGAATACAGGGGAAATACTCTGATATACTGTAGTTAATTTACAAACCAAAACCAAAAACCAAACCTCTGTCCCCAATCAACTTTGATGTCAGATCCTGTGGTCAGTAAGTAGCTCTTAATCTGCTACTCTCTACAATAAATATACTAACTTATGATTCTGTAATGCCTTTAAGATCTTGAAATAATAATAACGAAATTTCATTTAAGTAAAATGACCTATTGGTATTATATTGTAATTAATTAATTTTTCTTATGTATGCAGAATACTTTTGTGCTGAAGTTAAGTGTTAGCTGTTAGGTTTTACATTTATCAGGAGCCTAACTTTTATTTCTTAAAAAGATATCTAAACCTTCTTTTGGGGGAAATACCTTTTGGCTAACTAGGGTTTTATTTACAATAAATTTTTCTTTAAGGTATTTATTTGTGTAATAAAATACAACCATTATGTTGTCAGTAATTGTGTGCTACAAAGGGAGATCCCAAGAGTTTTAAAATGAGGGAATATTTCCATGTTAGAGTGAAGCTGCAGATGAAATACATGTGGGTCAGTCATAGACATGCCAAGTCCACTAAGAGACACAGAATGGCTCCTGGGCCATGAAATGGGGCTCATTCTGCTCTTACTTAAAGATAGAGGGTTGCCAAGACCGGTTTTGCTCAGTGGATAGAGCATTGGCCTGCGGACTGAAAGGTCCCAGGTTTGATTCTGGTCAAGGGCATGTACCTTGGTTGCGGGCACATCCCCAGTGGGAGGTGTGCAGGAGGCAGCTGGTCAATGTTTCTCTCTCATTGATGTTTCTGACTCTCTATCTCTCTCCCTTCCTCTCTGTAAAAAAAAAAAAAAATCAATAGAAGATAGAGGGTTGCTCTAAAGGTTAGAGACAGATGCTTACCTGCCCATGGTGTGGTTCAACTTGACTATTATGGTATCCATTTGACTACCGTATAATGGCATAATGGCTAGAATGACTAAGCTTAAAAGGGCTCAGGAAAAAAATTTCTTCTGAGAGGTAATCATAAGAATTGTCAAGATTGAAATTTTTATAAGACCTCAGTGAGTGGGAAGCTCTTTTTTTTCTTTTGAGGCTTTGGCTCCATGTAAAAGGTAGAGGAGAGAGTAGTTACCTGGGTCCCAGTTGAGAAAATTTAATGGCTTGTGGTCTGACCATTCCCAGCCTCTAGAAGAGTACAGCTGATTTAAGCCAATCCAGAAGATGCTTGCAATGCCTTCTTTTTCTGTAACAATTACATAATTTTAACAAGTGACAAAATTACCCAATTTATTATCTAAGTCAGACTATCTAGGAGGGTATCTATCCCACAAAGCAAGAGATGCTGACAGACAACACTTCAGACTACTGAGAAACCCAAAGGCTGATCAGTTAATTCAATTCTGCTTTCCCATTAGTGTGTGCGATTCCCTTTCTTCTAAGGTAAGAACAGACTCTTCTCAGAACAGCTGTTTCACTACTTTATAGCCTCTCGTCAGAAAGCAGTTATATAGTCAGGGATGTAAAGTAAAACATAGGAAATATAGCCAATAATTTTGTAATAACTATGTATGGTGTCAGATGACTACTAGACTTATTGGGGTGATCACTTTGTAATACTAATCACTGTGCTGTACAACTGACACTAATATAATATTATATGTCAACTGTAATTGAAAAATAAATTAAAAAAGAAAGCACTTATATATAAAAAAGTAGTTTGCATTGCAGATCTAGATTTTGAGGATCTGATTGTATTCCATTAAGCATATATCCTTTGCCAGATACGAAAGCTACAGAAACCAAAATGAGAGTCCTGCCCTCATGAGGATCTGAATCTAGTAGAAACAGATGTGGATCCCCAAATGGTAAAGTGCTACCAGCATTGCTTCAGAAATATGTACAGGAGCTGTTTCGTAGGCAATGTAATATACATCTGTAGAGTCCAAAGGAGATATTTAAACTGGAGATACAGAAGACACACACACACACACACACACACACACACACACACACACACACACACACGTAGGCCACTGTGGAGAGGTATCATTCTAATTTATTGTTTGACAACAAGATGCCATCAGCAAAAAAGAGAAAGACAGAGAAGCAGAAATGATTTAAGTAGTGAGGCTAATTGCAGAAAAGCCAAACAATATGCATATGCCCATAAGCAATGGGTCCAATCTTGCATGTATGGTCCATGTGTATTGGAAAACATGTAAAGAATTGTGAATTATTGTAAGGATTTTCACACCACTGGGAAGGAAGTCAACAGAATTACTTAAGAACCTGGTAAGACTTCATCAACATCATGAAGGAATAATCTGAAGATACTCAGGGCCAGGTAGAAGAGATAGAGCAAATGATGAAATGGTCTACAGAAGACAAGGATGATGTTGACAAACAGGCAGAGATCACAGGTTGGAATATCTATAAATTTGTTAAAATAGTCTCAGTAATAAAACACTTAATAACAGTTTCTTAATTCCTCACAGGAAATTATATATGATATGCTATTGTATTATATGTAATCATCTATATACATATACATGTAAAATATAGTTATATTTTTATATAATTTATTTGTACATTAAATTACATATACATAAATGGTTCTTAAAGTATGGATATGTTTTCTACTTGCAAATCACACAGATATATCGGAGATATAGATAATTTTGTTCATTATATACATCTCCAATATATCTGTGTGATTCGCATATAGAAAACCATATGCATTCTTTACTTTTTAGTAGATGTATATCCATGTGATTTGTACAGAGAAAACTATAATCACATATACATCTGAGTGATTTGCATATATAAAACCATGTCCATACATTAAAGGGTTTTTAAAAGAGGGTAATTTTAATCATACACAATTTTTGTCTTATTGCCTGCCTAAAACAGGTGATTCCACTGGAACCGACACCAGGGAATGGGCGCGTTCCCCTGGGTAGAGCAGAAATAGCAACAGCAAACACAAAAGAAGCCACGAGCAGTAACACAAACACCAGTGTTCAAGGGATGGACAGGAGTCTGGAAAGAGGGTGGTTGGGCCAAGGCCCAATGATCACTCCACCAAAAAGGAAGTGTGAGGATAAAAGTGAATTACAAAGATACACTGTGTTTTCCAGGGGTTTGCCTGTGAAAGAAAGAGATAGGGCTGTAGGAACTAAGAAATATATATATATGTCTATATTAATGGTAGGAGTTTAAACAAGTTAATAGCCTTTTGGAGAAGAATTAGAGACAGTTGATGAAAATACAAGATAGGAGAAAAAGCTGGTGTGGCCACAAAGAACCTTGGGGAAGGAGTTAACCTTGAACAAGCTCACAGCTGACAGTGCAGATACAGATACATTTGTAAGTATTGGGGTGAGAAATAAGGGTTTGCCTCACCTTTGTCAAGGAGGTAGCTGGTAAGGACACTCTGCTAAGGAAGGAGAAGATGGGTATTTGAGGGAATTTTGGATTCACCCTTTTCTTTCACTTGTTAGCACAAGCAAGAGCTGCCAACGCTTGTATACAAAGCCCTTGAGGATTTAATATAATGTAAATTTCTTCCTATTAGTAAAAGCAATGAATTTTCCAGCATTCCTAAAGAAGTCCTGAAAACTATGACGTATTTACGGTACTCTAGACTCGACTATACCCTGACATTCAGAATTCCTTTCATTCATTTCTAACTGGGGATACCATGGAGGGTCAAGCTTTCCCATTCGTCCCAAGTTCAATGCCCTCCCTCCCATGAAGTCTTTTCAGATAATCCCCCTGCAGGAAGTCTAAATAATCCTATCACTCTTTCAAAATTATTTTATTGCTTATCTGCACATGGCAAGTACACATTTATGACAGAGCAAAATGACCTTTGGAAGCTGTCAGGCTCCTACTCTGCTTCATCACACTGTTCTATTTGTGATCTCTATTAAAGACTTATTCTTCACTGGAATCATAGCATTTTAAAATTGTGACTGATAGAAAATGCTAAGAACCATATGATTTTGCTCATATGTGGGATATAAAACTGAAAGTCATGGACACAAACAGCAGTGTGGTGGTTGCCATAGGGAAGGGGGTGGGAGAAGGGGGTCCTAATATAAGGTGACAGGAGATTTGACTTTGAATGGTAGGCACAGTGCAATATACAGATCTTGTAACATAGAAACCCACATCTGAAACCTATTAAGTTCATGTTGACCAATGTCACCCCAATCGATTTAACAAACAAATAAATAAACAAATAAAAATCAACCAAAAAAATATGACTGAGTTAGCCAACAGGAATGCTCTTTATGTGTCTTACGCCAGCTGGATGTGAATGGGAAATGGATAAAACATAAAGGGCACAAACTTCTTATATGTCCTGGACAATATGGAGCTGGACTTTTTTCTACATAGTCCAAGCAAGAAGTTGATCAATTTGAGACATTACTTACCCCCATCTTTGCCATCAAGAAATAGACCATTGTTAGCGTAAATCTTCATGCCTAATCAATAGACAAGCCCATTGAAGAAGATATTTCTTGACTGCCCCTGAGACCCCTGTTCAGAGCTGGCCCATATTTCTATTCCTTTCCTTACAATAAAAGACTACAGGGCCTGCTAATGGTCATGCATTTGGGATGAGCCAGATGAGAGCCTCTTTAATGCATCATAAAAGCCAAGTGAGCAGGGACCCTGACTTAGAAGTGTTCTAGTCTTGGGGCACCTTCAAGATGGCTCAAAGTGAAGAGCCCCTCAAGGTGGAGGCAAATTAGGACACATGAAAATGTGCTGTTCCTACTCCAGGGACTGTTGGGGCCTCTTTTGTTGATTTGGGGTGAATCTGTGGTTAGAAGTCCTCTGGGAAGGCTGGATCATGGGAAATCTATCTCTCAAACAAAATCTAGTGAATATAAGGAAACCATGCCCCCTCCCCCTGGCCCCTGTATCAGTAAAACAAAACTAATAAAAACAAAACTAATTAGGTGCAGGGCAGGCAGAGAGGAAAAAGAAAGCTTTTTCAGACTGTATTAGACCTATCTTCAAGAGGCCTGCTTCTGCTTTTTTTCTGGCAGATTCCCTGGTCCCACCCAATTAGTAGCTAACAAACCAGAGGTTTCTTTTGGAATAACATTCTCCAATATGCTCTGCATATGTACAACTCTTATTTCACAACTATATAAAAAACTTTGATTGCAAAATCTGTCTTATTCACTTTGGTTGGCCTCACTGCTCCTGGCCCAATGGTTACATGGTAGTTTTCAGTGAAGGGCCACTTAATAGAAACTTTAAGATATTTTCAAGACTTAGATACTCTGAGTTTCAGATGTTAAAGTACAGCTTTCTTGGGTTTTGGGAAACCAAAAATTATAATTAGGCATATTGATATGTCTAAACAACATTTCACAGTAAAAGAGAAGCTTGAAAGGGCTGTACCTCTAAATTATTGATATACATAAGGTGTAGAAAGCGTCTGGCCAGGGGTAGGGGTAACTGGGCCCTTTAATATATTATCTCACTTTCATGAGTTACTAAAGAAAAGAAATCCTGTAATGTTCTTTTACAAATGCATCATTAGATTGTTTGTTAGGGTGTTAGTAGTCACACTTTGACATTTCTCCCTCATTATAATCATCACTATCCAAATAATATTCAAGGAGGCTTGAACTTATTGGCACTTTTCACTCTAACAATATTTTTGTAAGGTTTCAGTGATGTTGGGAATATAATTCTATTGTCAAATACTAGCCCATTAGGTTTATTTGATGGATTTTCATTCTAGAGGTCTAATTATTCAAGTATCAAACAACAAAGGAAAGGTTAAAGTTAAAAGTAAGAAAAGAGATATTCATAAGGCTTTAGCCAAAAAGCATGACAAAAGACCAGCAGACTTTTAGTGATGAAAAGATATAAAGCTATGTAAGAGAAGTAATTAATATAATAAAAAGTAAGGGCTCTGGAGTTATATATGTTGATATTCAAATCCCAACCTGGTATTTCTTGGCTGTCTAAGTATATTATTTCTAAGCATCAATTTCCTTATCTGTAAATTGTTGGGACAGACACTTGTCTCTGAGGTTGTAATGATATTAAATCGTTTAATTTATCTAGAGTTATTAGGGCTTTGCTCATAGTTAGCATTTATCAAATATTTATGACTTTAATAAAAGTGTGACAGGATTTATCTGAATTAGTCAATAGGTATTTAATACATAGCAATAATGCTTAGAGTTTTGTGCAAAAGGAAAAAACAACCCATGAGGTCCACTCTGCCTGCAAAGAATTTAATAATATTATAAAAGGTGAATGCAGGTACATGCCTGATACAACTTGTTTTCAAGTCAGACTATGTTCAAATTTTGGCTCTGCTAATTACTTGTGGGTGGCCTTGAACAAGTTACATTTCCTCTTTGAGTCTCACATTCATCATTCAAAAATGAACATAATAAAAGTAACATCTACTTCATAGGGTTGCTATATGGGACTCAATAAGATAATGTCTGAAAAGCATTTAAATATCTCTCTAAAAAATCATCATCATATATTATGATTTTTTTTCATTCATTGAAAAAATCATCAGGGACTCAATAACTTGATTTTCGAAAATAATGTAAAAACTTTCTGTTTACAAACTTCTAGTAAAAGAGTAAAAGATGGGCAACAATCCTACAGAATTTTGCTGAGTTTATAAAAGAAGTCTTAAATAAGTACACTACTGAGTACTCTCATAGAATTTTATTGAGTATATAAAAGAAGTCCTAAATACGTAAAAAGGCATACCATTTTCATGGATGAGAAGACTTAAAAATGTAGTGACAGTAATGCCTTCTTAATTAATCTATAATTCATGCAATTCAAAGTCCCAATAGGTTTTTTATTGAGAATAACAAGCTGATCCTTAGATTCATATGAAAGAATGGGAAAGAAAATAGCCAAAAAAAAAAAAAAAAAGAAGAATACGGGAGAATTTGCACATCGAGAAAATAAGATTTACTTTGTGAGGCAGGACTAACTAAAACAGTGTGGAATAGATAGAAAGACCAATAAGTAGACCAAAAGAATAGAATGGAGAGGCTAGGAATAACCTATATATCCTAAGGTTTATATTTATTAGAGGTGGCATAACAAACCAGAGGGGAAAATGTAAAATAAATAGTGCTTGGTAAACCTGACTATCCATCTGGAGAAAGATAAATAAGATTCCAAGCTTTACAAACTACATTACAGATGGATTAAGGATGTAAATGTGAAAAGTGAAATAATAAGCTTTTTAAAAAAACACGAGAGGATATCATTATCATTTTAGGGCTAAGGAAGGATTTGCTAAATAATATAAATAAGCATAAAACATTAAAGAAAAGATTGGTAAGTGTAACCAAATTAAAACTAACATTTTTTTTTTTTATGATGAGGCAACTAAAATAAAGTGAAAAGGTAAAGACTAGCAAAAGAGATTTGTAATCCTATAACAAAAGATTAGTGTCCAGAATATGTAAAAAACTATAGCAGATCAATATACAAACGACCAACAACTCAATAGAAAAGAAGCAAAGGACATGAACTGGCAAATTACAAGGGGAAAATCTAAATGCTCACTAAACACAAGATGCAAAACCATATTAACTATCAGGGAAATGTAAATCAATAATGACATACCATTTCACATTCATCATATCAGCCAATAAATAAGTTTGTTAACACCAAGTGGTAGTGGAAGTGTAAACTAATACAACCACTTTGGAAAGCAATTTGGGAATTTGATTAGAGGTGAAGAGATGGTCACACCATGTGTTAGCAATTTCCACTCTAGAGAAACTCATACATGCTCAATGGGACACATACAAGGATGTTCCTTGCAGAGGTGTTTGTAATAGCAAAAGCTGAAAACAACCTGTTTCTCAGTAGAGAATAGATGAATTATGGTTTATTCGTACAATGTACCACTATACAGTGGTAGCTGAAAATGAATAAACTTATATATGGGTAAATAAGATAGTATTTGCATTATTGTAAAACATAGAACGATGGTATAATGAAAACATATATAGGATTTATAAATATGTATAAGAGCACTCAAGGGACGGTTATTTTGAAAGGTGAGCATGGGGCTTGAATTCTGCCAACATTTTATTCTTTCAGAATAAAGGGAGGGAAAGGAGGGAAGGAGAGAGGGGTAAAGAGGAAGAGAGAAGGGAATCAATCCATATAAAGCAGTATGACAAAATGTCAGTGAATATTTATTTAGTCAGGGTGGTGGTTGCATAGGTCTCCATGTGATTATTTCCTATTCTGTCTATATGATGTTTTAAAAATATGTTTTCATAATTAAAAACTTAAAAATTATCATCACCACCCCACAAACAAGACAAAACAAAATCCTATCCACTCCATGTGTCTACATCATTAAATCCACTTGAAGGTTTCTTGAAGCTCTCCTTGCCCCTGAGGGCTGCGCTTGTTTAACTCACACGGGAAACCATCCAGTATGACTCAGCCATCTTCTTTACCTTCCTTGAGTTCTCCAGTTTTCAATGTTCAGAGAGTTTAATGTTTACCTTTTAAAAAATATTTTCACTTAGGCTTAGGGTAGCAGTTTAATTCTGCAACCTCAACACATTTTCTGAACATTAACCTCTTTTTGGTCTCCATCACAATGGATGGAATAGGATTACATTCAGTACGTTTTTGCTTGTGGGTTTCAGTGTTAAAGTTTAAATCCCAAGAGAAGATAGAAAAATATAAACATAAAACAACATGCCTGAATGTGTAAATAGAGGAAGACAGACAACCTCTTTATATTTCGGCAGTTTGCTCTATTGCATGTAAGTTAAACGTACCTTTAAGATAAGTTAATTCGGCATCACTGTTGATGCTCAGTAAGTCAGCTCCTTGATTCTGACATGAAATATAAGCTTCTTTCCAAGAAAGAGCTGCCTGAGTATTAAATTGGTAGCAACTCCCCATCTGCTCATTCTTTTCCCAATTACCTTCACAGCCATTTTCTGTTGATAAAAAGATACGTTAGTGATCATAAAGTAAGGATTTAATGTTTACTATTACTTAGAATGCTTATAAGTCCTGCAATTCAATTTGCTTACTATAAGGATATGCTTAAATTGGGGATTATTGCTTGACTAGACCACAGTTTGATTATTTGGTTACACAAGGCATTTGAAGTCAGAGGACACCCAATGACTCAGGCTGATTAAAGCTTCCACTATCCTACTGACCACCCTCCCTTTATCCCCTATCAAGTACAATGCCATATTTTAGCCCATACCTGCCTTCTATTTATGGGTAGGAGACTTTAACTGTGCTCACACTTTTAAGCCCCCAAGTTAATGAAAAACAAGCTCACATGAAAATGGTGGCAGACTGCAGAGGGATTTGCCCATGGCCTGCAGAGAAACTATTGCATGAGTATGTCTGTGTGCAGACATGCTGCTTAAATACTCAAGATTTAGAACCCAGGTGACTACAGTATTGGGAAACTCAGTCCAAGTTTCTCCTTAATAGTTTAATAAGGTGATTCAATATACAATATACACTAGTCAATAATACATAATTAATCATTATACATGTATATGTACATGTGTGTGCATATGTGCACAAACATATATGTTCATTGTATAATGTACCTATTATTTTCTTTAACAAATACTTAAAAAGTGTGTATCATTTCAGACAAAAGCCTTCAAGCTACGTTCTGGACAAGATAAATAGGTCTTGATACAACTGGCTCAAAAACAGACTCAGAGACTCCCTTGTGCTCTCCAGAGGAGGGAACACTGGGTATGTCCCAAGCTTCCCTTGTGGGGTTTCCAAGGCCTCCATAACCAGTCACATGCCACATGGCCTTTCAAGCTGGAAGGGCCCTTAGGTACCATCTTGGCTAATGTCCTCCTTTCACAGGGGAGCAAAGGTCTAGAGGTGTTTGTGCAGAGCTGATCAGAGCTCCGGCCTCTCCATCTGGGCTACTGATCTTCCAACTGGCTAACGCTGCTCCTTCTGCCACTTTAGAATGGCCCACACAGCAACAGAGGCTGCCGTGTCATGTGGTGAGCACAAAACAGGTGGATTTTTAACTATACCGCCTAACGGTTCCTCATTACCACTAGGCCCTGTGCTTATAAACCCAGGGGCTCCCAGTGCAATAGCAGTGTGTTTCTGACGCTAAAATAAAATCTCATGGTTTAGCAGTCCTTGGGTTTGAAAAACTCAGTCTTGCTTCTTCCATAAAAATAACTCTGGGAGGCCTATGAATACATTAAAAATCCACTCTTCCCCTGCCATGCAGAGGAGGTTAAAGGCATTGAGACAGATGCTAGTCAAGGCTGTAAGTCAGAGTGGGATAAATATGTTGGGAATAAGGAGCAGGAATCCTGGGATTTCCAACAGGCTCTGCACCTATGGGGGTTTGACCCGGACAATCAGGGTGTTGGTTGCCCCTCACCTGAGAAGTGAGGGTTTGCACTGGCTAACCTTCACATTCCCATTCCCATCTAAAATTTCTGATCCAGACTACTGTTATATTTACATGAAATTGGTGCCTGGTTGACCGAACTCTGCTTATCAATTAAAGCTGAAGCAAATATTGGCTTTTTACCTTGCAGTAGGTCCCAGGTGTTTAAAAGCCTGTGCCTCTACCTAGAAAAGTGATTATCAAAGTGTGGTCCCAGACCAGCATCATGAGCATTATCTGGGAACTCATTAAACTGCAAATGACTGGGCCCCACTCTAAACGCACAGAATTATAATTTCTGGAGGTGAGCCTCAGAAATCTGTGTTCTAACAAACTCTCCAAGCGCTCCTGTTGCATCCGGAAGTCTGAGAACCACTGGCCCAGCAGAAACCTCAATTGCCTTGAACTCTGCATTTTGAAGCTCGGCTTTCCCGAGGAGGGATAAGCATGACTAGAGATCAGCAGGATGGCTGCTGAATAAGGCAGGACAGTACAGTTGTTCAGGACAAGGTCTGAGGACTGGATTTCCTGGCTTTAAATCTTAGCTCTGAAATTGATTAGCTGTGTGACTTCAGGCGAGTGATTTAACCCCCCTGTGCCTCACTCACTTTGCTCATCTGTAAAATAAGGCTGTGTGAGGATTGCAGGAGGTAATAGAGACTGAGTGCTTAAAATAGTAACTGACACTTGGCAGGGCCCTATCAGTATTATTACTTGGGTCTGGAGCTGTTTGCTTTATCTTTACTACAGATTCCTCTAACCTACTGCCCATTAAAAATGTTTCTTGAGTACCTACCACACACACTTCAAGTACTGTGATCCCCTGTAAATCTCAACTGACTTGGCAAGAAAATCTGTCTATTACATACCAGATAATAATGCAACTACTACTTTGGTCTCTTTCACTCTAAGGAACAATCAATTCTTTAGCACATCCTGAATTGTTTGCTTCATGTAAGACGCAATTAGAAAACGTGCTCTGATCAATATATCAGAATGGCAGAGGGAACAATTCACCAATTTTGAGATGGTCAGGGATAATGTCTCTTTTGCTCCCCACTCTTTGCTTCAGGCCATAAACATATTTAAATGTCCACCATCCTAAAAGTGTTTTTTTTTCAATCTATCTGCCCGTCAGACCACCACCTTGCCTCTCTCTTTCTCTTTTCCATAAAACTTAAGAGGCTTACTCACCTTCTGTTCACGGTGCAGTCCATTATAACCCAGCTTCCCTGACCACTAGTCTTTCAGACTGTTCTGTTGAAGGTCAGCACTGCCCATGCTTTTCCTACTTCCTCTCTGAGAGGTATTTGTGCAAAATACCACCTCATCATGTGTCTTCTGTGACACCATCCTGTCTTTGTTCTCTTCCTGGCCTATTTTTGAAAGCAGGTTCATAGCTATACATTAGTTCTCCCTTTCCTCAAATATATACTCCTTGTTTACGATTATATTTGTTCTGATCATTTCTGAATACCTTGGACTCTTCCTTCACCCCCTCACCTCTGGGAAATGGTATCTTTTTCTTTCCATATGTAAAGTGTACTAGCCCATACATACCTGGGTTTAAGCAGATACCCCACTCTTGATCATATTCATAATTTAAGGTGGTTGCACACCATGGCCCACTGTGCTCTTCATCATGGATGCACTCATGATGCCAGGTCTCAGCAACTAAGAATGGAAATTCACAAGGTCTTCCATAGGCATTTCCATCTATGGTATATATCTCTGTGGGGTGGGGGGGGGGGGGGGAGAAGATAGAGGAAAGGAGAGTTAATCACTGGATAATCAGCTTCAGTTAACTAATTTCTAAAACTGCTTTGGAAGAAGGGTGGTTGTTTTCACTTATGAGCATGCAGTATTTGGGCAGGCTGCGTGGTGTAGAAATTCACAGCACAAATGCTGACTGCCCAGGTCTGGACTTGAACTCTGGCTTCGCCACTTACCAACTATGTGCCTGTGGACAAGCTCTCCAACCTCTATGAGCCTCCGTTTCTGCATTAGCAAATTAGGAATAACAGTACCTAGCTCACAGGTTTGTTCATGAGGATTCAATGAGGTAATCCATGTAAAACTTCATTTATTGTGATATGATAAAGAGCTAAAATACTGTGGCTTGATCAAGAGACAATCAATTGGCTACTGTGGTTGGCACAGTATTTCACCAGAAGGGAAGCCCTGCCTGAGATTAAACATATACTCTGTATTCTTTTCTTCAGTAAGAGTGGGGTCAGTAAAATACCTTGGAATCACTGAAGGTGGGTGTGGACTTTGGAACCCACTGTGGAGATAGAGACATGGACAAATAGCCCCGTTCTTCACAGAGAGAATTGAGGTGGTAGAGTGTGGTACAATTGAGGAAGTGGGAGGAAGAGCTGCTGGATCTCTGAGTGAATTTTTGGAGAGGGGCAGCACATGGTAATTCAGGTTATAAAAGAAGAACCTGCTTCAACTAGGCAGTCATAGGACCAGCTGGTGACCAACGAGGCAGCAGAATCACTTTTTTCATTTTAATAACTTTCCCTGGTACACTCATGGAGAGGAACTGAAAAGTTATTTTAGCCTCAAATATACCTAGAAATACTAGAGGAAGTGCTCAATACTTATGTTAATAACAGATCTTTTGGAAAGGTGTTTTTTATAGAACAGCTAACTCTATAACTATTTTGATCACCTTTTTCCACATCTGTAATTTTTTAGAAACTATGATCATTACTAGATTAAAGAATGGCTATTAAGTAAAGCGTAGGAATCAGATCTTATCACCTTTTACCATGTTAGTAGGGTCCCTTAGAATGTATCTTATATTTGCATAAAAGTGTAGTGAAGATAGTATTTGGTTCCACATTCTTTATTGTTCTCAAATGTTCATTTAACTGAAGTGTGAGGTGGCAGGATAGTAAGAAGCTAGGAAAATTCCTTGACAAGCAGAATAATGGAAACTGAGCCTCAACACAAGGACTCATAGCTGGCTCCCTTGTTAGAGCACGCCCACACCTTGAATTTCTGCTGGTTTTCTTTTGAACTCAGGGTGCCACCAGACTTGCATTCATGGGCTTACCTCATGACCCTGTCTCCAAGGCCCCCTCTTCTCTGACTTTCTCTCTCCTGCTGCTTCTTCTACCTTCAGCCCTTCCTTCGTTTCACAAACATGCTCTCAAAACCAACTGGACTTGTAGTGTGAAACCTTTCCACTCTACAGGCGGGTCAAGGCAGACCCACCCCAGGCCCAGACCCCGTCTGGTAACAGTAAGCCTTAGCATTAAACAGCAATACAGCAAAAGGTAAGAATAATTTAGATGTTTTTATTTGCAAGAAATCTCTTAATTTTGTTTTCCTCTGACATAGAATGGATCTGAACAGGGTATTTCTGTTAAAGAGTAATCTGTCCTTATATTTTATAAGGATCCTGCGTATAACCTAAGTTTTGTTTTTAACCATACTCAAACTCCCAAGACCTCATGACCAATTTCTCTTCCCATATTACAACACTTAATAGGAGAGTCCCTGAGCACAATGATTATTACTTATGGAAACATCAGTTTCTTTTCTAAATTCTTGTGTTTCTCATACAAAGTGCTTTCCCATACATTTCTTTCACTTCCGCATTACCATAAGCCCTGGAGTCAGTAGGGCAAGTATTACAAGTGAGGATCAACTGGCTACTGTGGTTGGCAGAGTATTTCACCTGCCTGAGATTAAATGTATATTCTGTCTCCTTTTCTTTAGTAAAAGTGGGGCCAGTAAAATACCTTGGAATCACTGAAGGTGGGTGTGGACTTTGGAACCCACTGTGGAGTCAGAGACATGGACAAATAGCCCCGTGAAATCCCCGTTTTGCTGAGTCCCTTAGCAGTAACTGACAGACTGGCTCTTTGATAAGAGTCCTTAACATATAAGAACAACTGTGACAGCAATGGCTGTCTTCTCAGGTTTCAAGTTATGTTTCATAGCTGGAAGCTGGGCTTCCTTTGAAAAGCTCTCCGAGTCACAATATGCTCTGCGGAAAGATAAGCATAGAACCACCACCCTAATGGCAGCTGCTAAATTATGCTAACTATTCACGATGAGTTTTATTCTCACACATTTCTTTGTTGCTGCTAGATCTCTTAAATGCCATAGGCTTCTCTAGAAAAATAGACTTTCCTCCGAAGAATCATCTCCGAATGGGGAATAGTAGCCTTTAAAATGACGAGGCACCTACATGGAAAAGTAATGTAAAAATTTTTGGTAATATTAGACAAAATGTCTTCAATGGTTAAAAGAAGTTGGTAGGCTTCTAAGAGCTGCTCAAAATTCAGAGAGCTCTACAACCACAGCTCCAATCAAAGTCCATTTCCTCTGCATAATTCACCAAATGTTCAAAATGTGAAGAGTGCTAGCAAGGCCAAGATATCGTAATGATATAAATGCCTATCTGGATGCTAGTCAAAGCAGTTTATTTGTAAAATGTATACAGTTACTTTTCTCTGGTGAACATGACTCACACAGGATGGGGGTTGGCTAGAGAGGCAACCCAGGACACAATGACAAATAACTGTTCTTATATTAGACGTAAAATATTTATACAGCAAAAGCCAAGGGAGAAATAAAGTAGCTATATTTGGGGAACACAATCCTGGCGTGGAGCTGCAGCTTTGCTGTAACAAGCGTGGTGACTTTGGACTTTGCTTTGTTGCATCTCTGGTATCTTATCTTTCTTTCCTCTATATAATTAGATAAGAAGAGGGGCAGGGACCAGTATGGGGAGTCTGAGAGAGAGCAGTCCTAGAAAAAGCCCCTAACTTAAGACAGCAGTCTCTGACCTAAGAACAAGAAGGGACTACACAGATTTGGGTAAAATTGCCAGGACTTAGTATTTGATTACATTCCAACAGTGGGAGAGGAAATCAGGCCAACTCTAGGGTGACTTACAGATTTCTGACAGACTTGACTTGGAAGGTACCAGTCATCAGGAGAGGAATGGAAAAGAGGCAGATTTGGTCTTGGCCTCTGTGCAAATTAAATCCTGAGGTTTAAGGTGACAAGTCAGAACTACATGTGCCTTCTCTTTGAAATTTATAAACTTCTTATTTCAAAATTGCTGTTCCAAATACTATGTGGTAAGGTCAAGAAACCCTCTACACCCATTTGACTCTCTCTGGGGTGGTGCCTTAGATGGGTTCTTAACCTTTTGGGGGCCACCATTCACTTTGACAGTGGGCCCCCTTCTCGGGAGAATATTATAAATGCATAAAATAAAAAACATTGGATTACAAAGAAAACCTGTTATATTGACATGGAGGCATTTGGGGCATTGAAGGAACTTAAAATTACAACTATGTCCCTCAAAAGAATTAGAGGCAAGAGACAGAGTCCTGTCAAGAAAATTATACTTTCTGTTCCTTAAACAAAGACAATGAAACAAGTCAAATCCAGTTCAAAAGGTATTTTGTTTTGTTCCTCTTTTCTCTTAGTTGCCAAGTTGGAGAAGGCTTGACAACACAAAATTTAAACTTGCCATTAAGAAAGCAACTGCTTTTTAAGGCCAGGAGGAAACTGGCTAGCAGAAACAGACCTGTTCAAATAGGCAAGGGTCAAGGATCGAAGAAAAGGAAAATCCCACCCCAAACTCTCTAATATTTCCCTGTAACAGCAGAACCTGACATCTCAGAGGCAGCTTCATCTGCATTAGAAAAGAGAAAAGGGTTCCCTCAGGGCAAAACTTGCACAGATAAGGGGGAAAATGGCAGGCCAGATTATACTTAAATGAACTTTAAGAGAAGAGGGAAAAATCTCTGTAAAGTTGTGTAAATTTACAAAGTAGAACAAAGGTGAGATAATAGTTAAGACTTAAAAGATAATTAAAGATATACCTATATCTCAACTTCTGATGTAATTTAGAGCAACAGAATGAAAAAAGATTTGCTTGGGGGATAGCTACTTACATTTAGAGGTTTAAAGAATAAATCTGTTCATTCTTTTTAAACTTTGATCAAGTCTTTAGACTCAGAACAAAGTTCACAATCAACTCCCCCAAAGGCAATTATCATGTACTCATTTTTGGAAGCAATTGAGAAAAAGTTAACTATCACAGTGTAATAGGCACACCCAAAATAAAAAGAAGTACATAAACCCACACAAGGCTCCTCAATTTTTCCATTACATCGAAATCTGCAGATAAGAAAAAAATATATTTCATTTTTTTTCTTTCTCTTTCTTCTTTTATCATTTAGAATAGGTCCGGCTTTACTACATCATTTGACTTTTATCCTGTACGAAGGATTTCCTGTTACCCTAACTTTTCTTTGTTCTGGAGTTCGGGACGTAATCATGAAAAGCAGGTAAACACATGCTCAGGCATCAGGGAGATTTCCAATTCCGGGGTGGCACAGAATTGCTGTGTGACCTGTGACAAGGCACGTACCTCTCCCAGCCTTGCCTGTAACAGAGGGCAAACAGCACTGAACCCACAGGGATAGTTCAGAGTTACTGCCCAGTGGCTGGAACTGAAGGCTAGCTCACTGCCCATACCCCTGTACAACTTTGTGGTCAGTTGTGCATGTTTAACAGCACATTTACTAAACACAACAGCAAATGAGTCCAAGTCCCTCTCCAATACTCACCCTGGTAAGGCTGGGCACAGAGGTTTTCCCCCGAGCCTCCTTTCTTCCAGCCGTCAGATGAATTTGTGCTTGCGATGGCGATTGCACCCTTCAGAGCCAACCTGGACTGGGCCGCTCCATACAGAGAGTGGTGCTCGCATTTCCACCACAGCATGGCTCTGGCGTCACAGCTGAACATCCTCAAGGAGTCCGTGGGTTTGGTAATATCGAGGCCAAGGCACTTCTGGGATTGCAAGTGAAAGAGCCGATGCTGGGACACCCACTTCCACAACATGTCCTCGGTTTTGTCACACTCCTTGACTACTATCCAGTCATTTAGTGGCTTGATACACTGGCCCGTGTTTTCATTGACGATGGTGAATGGATCATTCCCTGAGTCAAGACAGACAAAGAAGGTGTTTCAGGATTCTGAATTGTGTGGCCAATGTGCCTTGGCCCCTGCTGGGTGGGGAGAATGTGAGCACCATGGGACCGTTCCTACCTCCGCGCTGTATAAACTGTGATGTACTACAAGGTCAGAGGACAGTGGCGGCCACCGAGGCAGTACAGCGTTGTGGATGAGCCTGGGCTCTAGGGCCGCTCTGACTGGGTTCAGTCTGCCTCTGCTACTTGCTAGTCATGTGATCAAGGCAAGTTATTTAACTGCTGTACCTCAGTTTCTTCTACTGTAGAACAGTACTTCACACAGTAGATGTGAGGATGAAATGAGCTTATACATACAAAGCACTTAGAATAGTATGTCTATTGTTATTATTATTCCATGAAATGCCCCCCCCTCCTTTATTTAACAAGATAAGGAAACTCCTTAGTTTTCATTTCCTTTAGACAGACGGTCTACAGTCAATGAAAAATTGAGTCTATTCTGGACAACTCTGTCTTGCTTCCACTTTACTATGGCAGGTAGATTATTACATGACATTGATGTATCTCAGAGGAGATTGGCAGGTAAATTACTACATGTCGATGTGTCTCAGAGGAGATGGGCAGACTTCTGAGGGTCCCGAGGAGATGGAGGTCTGGTTCTGAGGGTAGGGGGGAATCTGTGGCCAACTCCATTGCAGCACCTCCAGGAAGGTGAGGGCAAACCCTGGGGAGGGGCTGAGGGCAGGAGGCTTACAGTGTGGATGACTTTGGGAGCCCAAATCTGAGCCACAGGATTTAAGACCCAGTGGGATTGGACAATGGAAAATTCAGAAGTAACCAGTGTTGAGCTGACGGGGAAAGAGGAACCTCCCTGAATGCTCTCGACAGTTTTGCATGAGCTGGGGAAGACGGCGGTAATAAAGAAACTGAAGTTCTGTTAACCTGATGAAATGGGACCTCAGAATAAAATGTAATTTGCTATTATGAAAATAAAGTCATGCATTGTTTCTTGCACAGCTAAGTTTGTGGAGCAAGATTCACATCTGTCACAACAATCCACAACTGAACAATTTGATCAGTGCTTTTACAAAGAAACATTTTTTTCATGTTGACGAGAGTAAAGCTGAAATAGTTCTGACAAACTTAAATAATCACGATCAATGAACCAAAGTATTCAGCAGAAGGACCTATAAAATTTTAGTTCCCAAAAGGCACTTTCATTTTGATGCCAGTTTCACATTCACTTATTTGACTAACATTAAACACCGTTTCTAATAATAATTCACAGGCTTTCAGAGTGACACATTTTCATTCCAAGGACTGGAGGGGGGATTTAACTATGTAAATAATAACTATAGAATTAAGTCCAATTCCAGTTTGAACTTTGGACAGAGCTTTTTTATTAAAATAGCAGCAGCAGCTACAAGAGAAATGATAGGAACAATAAAATCATTTAAAACTTTGTTATTTCTGCTTTCAAATCTGTATTTTAAAATATAGCATAGGATGGAAGCTAAGTATGTTTGCCCTCACTCTTTCTCCCTTGACATCACTCTGTCATTCTCTACTTTGTGGACACAGTTTGGGAAGATAAGTCAACAAAAAAAGAAAATGTACTACCTTAGAAGATTATCACTCACACTTTCTCTAATGTCCTCCTCCCCCATTTCCAATAGCCACTGAGCCCCAGGATGCAGCTCTTTACTAAACTATTCTCTCTCACCTCTCCAAAATAAATCTTGTGTTCCCAGGTATCAGGAGTTACTGCAGAAAAAAAGAAGTCTGCTCCTGCAAAAAAAATAGGTGGCTGCCACCCTTCGCTGTGGCCTTACTGCTCTCTTTCCTGGGCACTCTGCTCTTTGCCCCTTAACACCAACCAGGTAACTGGACACAGAGCAGCTTTGTCTGTCTTTGTGGCTTGGAGTTCTAGATTTTTCAGGTTGCCTCTGCCAAATCCAAAGGATTAGCTATGGCTCTCAGTACAGTGGTAGTGGAATAAGGAGTTAGGGATCTTAGATTAAAGGCCTATCTCTGCTACCAGTTAGCCTCAGGGAAGTCACTTAATCTCCTCAGGGTTTTCATATCTCCAAATGTAAGATGAAAGTAGTGGAACATAAGGTATCTAATCCACTTCCAATTCTAACATCATATGCTTCCAGAGGATCACAGTTTTTTCAGTCTTGCAGGTTTTATTGGTCATTGCTAAGTTCATTGCATATTGGTCTTTTAAAAAAATTTTTTATTGACAAAGTTGGAGGGATCACAATACCAGATATCAAGCTATATTACAAAGCCACTGTTCTCAAAACTGCCTGGTACTGGCACAAGAACAGACATATAGACCAAAGGAACCGAACAGAGAACCCAGAAATTGATCCAAGCCATTATGTTCAGTTAATATTTGACAAAGGAGGCAAGGGCATACAATGGGAGTCAAGACAGTCTCTTCAATAAATGGTATTGGAAAAATTGGTCAGATACATGCAAAAAAATGAAACTAGACCACCAACTTACACCATACACAAAAATAAACTCAAAATGGATAAAGGACTTAAACGTAAGATGGGAAACCATAAAAATCTTAGAAGAATCCACAGGCAGCAAAATAGCAGACATATGTTGTAGCAATATCTTTACTGATACAGCTCCGAGGGCAATGGAAACTAAGGAGAAAATAAACAAATGGGACTACATCAAAATTAAAAGCTTCTGCACAGCAAAAGAAACCATTAACAAAACAACAAGAAAGCCAACTGCATGGGAGAACATATTTGCAATGTTATCTCTGATAAGGGTTTAATCTCCAACATTTACAGGGAACTCATACAACTTAACAAAAGGAAGATAAACAATTCAATTAAAAAATGGGCAAAGGAACTAAATAGACACTTTTCAAAAGAGGACATAGAGAAGGCCAAGAGACACATGAAAAAATGCTCAAAGTCACTAATCATCTGAGAGATGCAAATCAAAACAACAATGAGGTACCATCTCACACCTGTCAGAATGGCTATCATCAACAAATCAACAAACAGCAAGTGCTGGGGAGGATGCGGAGAAAAAGGAACCCTTGTGCACTGCTGGTGGGAATGCAGACTGGTGCAGCCACTGTGGAGAACTGTGTGGAGTTTCCTCAAAAAATTAAAATGGAACTTCCATTAGACCCAGTGATCCCACTTCTAGGAATATATCCCAAGAAATCAGAAATACCAATTAGAAAGGATATATGCACCCCCTGTGTTCATAGCAGCACAATTTACAATAGCTAAGATTTGGAAACAGCTTAAGTGCCCATCAGCAGATGAGTGGATTAAAAAACTGTGGTACATCTACACAATGGAATACTATGCTGCTATAAAAAAGAAGGAACTTTTACCATTTGCAACAGCATGGATAGACCTGGAGACCATTATGCTAAGCAAAATAAGCCAGTCGGAGAAAGATAAATATTACAGGATCTCACTCATTTGTGGAATATAATGAACAACATAAACTGATGAACAAAATTAGATCCAGAGACAGAGAAACACCAAACGGACCATCAAACTTCAGAGGGAAGGCAGGGGAGGGCGGGGAGAGGGAGTGGGGTAAGAGAGCAACCAAAGGACTTGTATGCATGCATATTAGCATAAGCAAAGGACATGGACATTGGGGTGGTAGGGGCTTGTCCTGGGGGTGGGAGTGGACGGGATGGGGGATAAAGGAGACATATGTAATACTTTAAACAATAAAAAAAATTTTTTATTGAAGTTATTGGGGTGGCATTGGTTAATAAAATTATATAGATTTCGAGTATATAATTCTATAATACATCATTTATATATTGTATTGTGTTCATCATTCAAAGTCAAGTCTCTTTCCAACACCACTTTTCCCCCCTTTACCCTCTTCTACCTCCTCCCAACCCTCTTTCCCTCTTGTAATCACCATATTGTTGTCTGTGTCTATGAGTTGTTTTTTTTCTTAATTCATTCACCTTTTTCACCCAGGCCCCAAGTCCTCTGTCCTCTGACAGCTGTCAGTCTGTTTGCTATCCATGGGTCTGTTGCTATTTTGTTTATTTTATTAATTCGATTCCACATTTAAGTGAAATCATATGATATTTGTCTTTCTCTGAGTGCTTATTTCACTTAGCATAATACTCTCCAGCTCCATCCAGGGTGTCACAAAAGGTAAGATTTTCTTCTTTTTTACAGCCAAGTAGTATTCCATTGTGTAAATGTACCACAACTTTTTTTTTTTTTTTAATCTAGTCATCTATTTTTGGACACTTAAGCTGCTTCCAAATCTTGGCTATTGCAAATAATACTGCAATGAACATAGAAGTGCACACTGCATATTGGTCTTGAACCAATGCCCACAACTTTATTATGTCACACTAATGTTAGCAGCATTTTAGGTCATTCTAATCACATTTGTATTGAGCATGTGCACTTAGGTGACAGTGATGCTTTACAAATGTTCTTCAGAAGAGAAGAAATACGTACCCTTTTCCATTTATTTCTGGGATTCCTGGAGATTTGACAAGCTCGTTGAGACCATAGGAGAGGTGGACAGTAGCATGGAATAGTTATGTTAAAGAGGAGTTGCCAAGCTTCTTACCTAATTGCAACACCTAAGTTTCTAGCACCTTGCTCATTCTAAACTTGTCTTTTACCGTAGTATAAACATCAATGTTGGGTACATACATTCTTTTGAATTAGTGTTTTGGGTTTCTTTGGATTAATTCCCAGAAGTGTAATCACTGCGTCATGAGGCCGTTCCATTTTTGTTTTTTTGAGGCAACTCCATACTTCTTTCTACTGTGGCTGTACCAATCCGCATTCCCACAAACAGTGCACAAGGGTTCCCTTTTCTCTATACATGTGCCCCTATATTCATTGCAGCATTATTTACAATAGCCAAGATTTGGAAGCAGCCCAGTGTCCATCAGTAGATGAGTGGATAAAAAAGCTTTGGTAAATTTACACAATAGAATACTACTCTGCCATAAAAAGGAAGAATATTTTACTCTTTGTGACAGTATGGATGGATCTGGAGAACATTATGCTAAGTGAAAAGGCCAATCACAGAACAAGTACCATATGATTTTACTCGTATGTGAAATTTAATGAACAAACTGAACTACCAAGCAAAACAGACAGACTCATAGAAAGAGAGCAGGCGGACAACTCTGATTGTGGGGGAACATTGGGGGAAGGGGTGTGCAGGGTTTGAGCAAAAAAGATTAAAAAAGAGAGAGAACTCATGAACAATGCAGTGATTGTGGGGGGGGATGGGGTGGGTGAAGGGAAAGAGGGCATAGAGGGAGAAAGTGATAATGGAAAAAATAAAATAAACATAAAAAAGTAAAATAAAATAAACATCAATGTTTGACATCTATACTGGTCACTTAGCATAGTCATTAATTATTGATATGATTTAAGGAAACCTGTTATTGGCCTTCATACATAATGTATAAGCATTTGTCCATAATATATAAGCTAGGGAGAGTCTTGCCTCCTCGTGATATGGCCCCATCTTCCCTTACCCTTAGCAGGAGCTGTTCAGTCTGCCTCAGCTTGTGACTCTACTGGGATGGTAGGTTGAAGAGTGAGAAGGACTGACAAAGTGTGAAAATAATTTCTTATTTAGAAAATTTATTAAATGAAGGTGAATAAAATATTTCAGAAATGCATTACACTTTGAAAAGATAATTATAGAGCAATTTACAAAAAACGATCCTTTATTAATAGCTTTATATTGCATCTTGTTCACTTAACAACTTTATGCTGGTCCTAAATGGAATTTTAATGTTTCTCTCCAAATATAATATTGAGACGCGTCTAAATGGCAGAGGTTGATAAAAAGAAGCCTCATCACCCCCTAGTAGCACGTTCTGCATGCTTCATTTTATATAAACATTCTACTGGCGTTTGAGAGGAAATGGCTGCATAGCATTATCATAAATTGAAAATGAATTTTTAGTATTTTCACATCCATCAATGGAAAACTATCTCTTATTGTCTGATCATTAAGTAATTCCTATCTTACAAGCCCTAAACCAAAGAGCTTTGCACGTTCCAAAGAGAAGCTGGACGTCAACATTTTATAACTACAGACAAACGGAGAGGGAGATGCTTGGGAAGGCCAGAGGAAGAAGGCTGCAGCATTTTTAATTTCAGGGGAACTCCCACAGCCCACACTGCTGAGCGTTTTGTGGTGTCCCTATCATGTGTGCAGTGTACAGGTGCAGGAGGAGGCAACGAGAAGTCTGGCTTTGCCAGTTCAAAACGGGTCCTGAAGTGACGGTTGGGTCCATGGCAGTCTACCAGAAGTCAGAAAGTCATGGAGCCCAGATTGAATGGTGTGGGCTGGTGAGAGCCTCAGAAGTTCCTGAAGGATTGGTTTACTTCAAGCTGTTAGCTCTCTGATGAGGCAAAGAAGTAAACGAAGCAATTGGCACCTCCCCAAGAACGCAGAGGTACTCCTCCAGCATCTGAGCAACGGAGACCACCTGCACACACCTAGCCAACATGTGATGAAATGCATGCGGTTAGCAGCATCATGAAGCTGACAGACTGCCAAACAAGCTACGGAAATGGCTGGGGTTTCAAGCTTCCAGTGCTTTCTTTAATAGGACCACAAGTCTGGGCTGAGGGTGTGAGAAAGCCAACCGGAGCAGCTGCTAAGGGGGAGGAAGGATGCCAAGAAGACAAATGAGGACCTAGTGCAGGGAGGTTGCAGTTAACCCTTTGCTCTTTGCTTGGGGTTGGTGAGAAAAACCAGAGATGGTAGAGTTTGCAAAATTCTGTCTGAGAGACAAAATAGATAAGGCTACAACAGATGTAGATAGAAACCAAGAGCTTAGTGATTGAAAGGTTAGTGTGTTCGACTGTAAGTTAGCTGCTGCAGTAAAAATGTTCTCCCTGGATTGCAGGGCAGGCTGACTAGAATTCTCACAGCAGTAAAGAACTCTTGGTAGTTTCCAACACAGAGGGGAAGAGAAGAATGGAGAAGTGGGAGCCAGAGGAGGGTCTTGGATGTGGGCAGGGTGATGCCACTGACACTGTGAGAAACCTCTTCCCAACACTCTCTGAAAAAAAGTCGAACTTGGATAGTAACTTAGTTTAGCTGCAAAGAAAACAAGATCCACATGCAACGTGAGGTTTTCAAAAAATTCCCTTGACCATCTTTCACTTCCTCTTACAGCAAAGGTAAGCGGTGGGTGGGGACTCCCAAAGTCTTCAGCATATCTGCCAAGGCGAAAAGAGAAAGTAAAAGCAAATTCCAGTCGCTGCCAAGGGGGATGGTGAGGCTGACACTACCTAGACTAGAGCATCTGCTAAGGTGCTAGGTTCCTGGTCCTGCTTTCGCAGTGAGAGGCAGGAAATCTCAGGGTAGGCGACCTGTCCTCCAGCGAGAGGCCCCTGATGAGCCTTTGGGCGTGATAAACCAACGAGGAGAAAGGGCTGCTGCTCCAGGCACTGAGGCGGGGACATCACAGCAGTCATGATCCTGATCGCTTCAAGAGGCATGGCTTAACCTGACTTCCTTTCACGTGCATCCCTGGGCACCGTGAAGTCGGGAATCATTACTCATCCTTGGCGCTGTGGGTGGAGAGCGCCTCTGGACGCTCCAAGTGGCACAAGTGACCAAGGGGATGGGACGGGAGGAGTACTGAGAAGCCCTCTGCTCCAGGGAAGCAAGCAGGAGGAGAGAGGATGAGGGAGGCGGGGGAGGGAAGGCCCAGAAAAGACTCAGTGAGCCTCCCCGACGCTGGGCTCCTAGCCCTCGGCTCCGGAAAGGCCCGGCCCTCCCACGCCCCACGCAGCCATCCTCCCGGCCCCGCCACCCCTACCGAGGGCAACGGAGCGCCTTCTCCCCAGACCCCTCCTTCGGCTCACTTGTCCGGCTCCAGATCCCCGAGCAAAGCAGAGAGGACGGGGCCCTGGAGCTCAGCTCTAACCCGAACCAAGGGAAGTGAGCAGCCCGGGCAGCGACGAGGCCCCCCGCCGGCTGGCGGGCGGACGCACCCACCCCGGTTACCTGCGCGGCCAAAGGGCTCCGCCAGCTCGAAGCACTGAAGGAGCAGCACGAGGAGCTCCGCCGCGCAGCGAGCGGTGGCCCAGCGCGTCCTCATCCCGACCGGCCCTACCGCGTCCTCGGGCGCAGGTGGCACCCAGACTTTCGGGTGCGCCCAACCTGCCCCACCAGCGCCCTTGCCCTTAGGCTCCCGGGGCGCCCCCGCCCCCCGCCCCCTCAGCCAATCAGATCACCATGAATTGGGTCCCGGGCGGGGCGGGGTAGGAGGCGGGGAGATGACGTGCAGGAGCTTTGCGCACCTGTGACGGGCGGGGCCGCGAGGAGGCGGGAAGTGAGCGTGCGCCCGCTAGCTGAGCCGTGCAGACGGGCGGGCTTGGGGGTCCTGGCCCTGCCTCCGGTCAATCCAGCCCCGGAGACGCGGCTTGCTGGGACTTGGCACTGCCCCAGGGGCTGGGTTCCGTCAGTGTAGGACTTGTCCTCTGCCCAGCGCTCTTGTCACAGGTGGTTTCTTCCTGGCATGGCTCGGTTAGAAAAGCAACCACATCTCCTTCTCCCAAGGAGGAAATGTACATCCGTTTCGGTGCAGCTGTGGTCAAGCCAGAGATCAGTCGTCCTTGGCAACGTCTTGCGTATTTTGATAGAGCAAACAAAGGTGAGGTAACGCACCCTGCAGTTGGCCTGCAGTTGTTGAAGAATTAAAGGCAAGAACTATTGCAGTGACCCTACGATACTTACAAGATGATTTAGGCTTTGTAACCATCTGATATTTGCAAGATTAAAAAAAAATTAATAATAATAATCCAATGGAAGTGTGGAAGTCTGCGCCCAAAACAGGCAATTGTGATAGTAGGATTCATTCTCTCCCTGTGGGAACTGCTATCAGTATAAATAGGGTGACCTAAGTTTCCTGGAAATGAAGACCCTATATTTTTAAACCCGTGTTTACTGAGCACCTGGTTTGTACTCAAGATGGCTCCCATCCCTGCCCACGAAGAGGCGAACAGCTAGGTTGTCTTTCCTGATTCCAGCTGCCAAGGCTTTGCTGATGGCTCCAAACCTCCCTTGTCTCTGTTCTCCCTCCAGACTCCCACTTTTCCGTGAGGTAGAAACATTGAGCCCTTTCCATCACAGGGGCTGGGCCCCTCCCAGGATAAGATAAAAAGACATCCCTGCCCTCTCAAGCTTGCTGAGTACTGGGGGAGACTGAGGCGCACACACAGTAAGGCAGGGCAGAATGAATGGGGAGACTGGACAAGGCCTTGAAGAATGGGTAATGGGTAGGAGTTTGACCAGGCGCAGCAGGTGGGAAAATGTAATGCAGTGTCAGAAGACAGTTGAGTCCATTGTGGCTGCTCTGCCGGAAGCATGTGTGCGTGTGTAAGTGAAAGTCGCTGTGGTGGGGATCTCAGCAGAAATGACAGCAGACAGGTGAGTTGTGGCTATTTTTTGAAGCGCCTTGAATATGTTGTAAACACTGACATGATTCTCCAGGGAATGGGCAGTGGAAAGTTCTGAGTAAGAGACCCTGCTCGGATTGGTCCGCATCTATTGCTGCTTGCCTTTCTGGTCCTGCCCAGGCTGGAGCTCAATGAGGGCATCAGTCTCATATTCTGTATGATCATGTCCTGAACACTGAGTACTAGGCCTGCCTCAGAGTAAGCTCAATAAATATCACTGAATTAATGAATTCTTAGAGCTCCCGCCTTAGCCTAAGACCACATGAGCTCCCACTTTCATTATATTGCAATAGTTTCTCACTACGCACAGTCGTTACCTTCTCAGGCAAATGAACCCTTCTAAACACTGTTTGGAACATGGCACCTTCATTTTACTCTAATCTTTGAACGAGTAACTCAGTAGATAGAGACGATGGGGAGGAGACTCCAAGCTGCAGCAATGCTGTGAGCAAAATGACAGAGATCTGCCACCCACTGGGTTCCTGGCCACTGTGCTGAGCATTTCCCATGTACTCTGCTATCTAACAACCATCCTATGAAGGTACCACTGTTATCCTCATTTTACAAACGCAGACAAGACAGACAAGAAAGATCAATAACCACAAGTGAAGATAACAAGGTGGAAATCTGACTTATGAAATTTGTATGAATGTGTGAGAGTGTTACCATTATTTTTCTCAGTTACATTTAGGGAGAGGGAAAATGAGCTTTTAGGACCTTTAAAGTCATGTTTTTAATTATAGAATATATCAGATCTAAACCAGCTATGTTTGTAGGCCTCTTCCAGGTCATATGTACCTTACTTACTCCCATACAGAAGGAACCACTCCTCTGAATTGTTTATCATTCTTTTCTTTCCAGTTTTCCCATATCTGATATATCCCTTATAGTATCTATAACATTGCATATTTTTGATTTTTATGTAAACAGGATCATTTCAAGTTGTTGTTTTTTGGCCACTTACCTTTTTTGCTGCAAATCATGCGCATGACATTCATTTGTGTTGGTGTGTGTTCCTATAGTTCATTCATTTTTACCTGATGTTCCATTATAAGAATAAAGCACACTTTATCCATTCTCTTCTTGATGGACACTTGGTAGGCTCCAGTTGGGTATTGCGCTGTCTTTAGCAATGCCTCTGGGACCATTTTTGTTCATGTTTCCTGGTGCACATTGCTAGATGTTCCTGAGGGTATGTTCTTAGAAATGGAATTCCATGAGCATAAGGAATGTTTAGCATCAACATTATTAGACAATGCCAATGTGTGCTCCAATTTGCACTCCCAGTGGTGTAGACAAGCATTTATATTGCTGAGCATTTTCATCAACACTTGGCATTTTAAAACTTTGGTGTGGGGTAAATGCTATTTCATTTTGGTTTAAAATTGTATTTCCCTGATCACTAAAGAGGTTGAACATACTTTTCAATGTTTATTGGTTATTTGTATTTCCCTTTCCAATTCTTGTACAGGTTATTTGCGTGTTTTCTCTTAGATCTATTCCCTGCCTTTCTTTGCTTTGAATCCCAAGGGAGTACTCTGCATTTCCCAGGCTCCCTCACCTACTGCCTTCTGGTTATGTTCAGTCGATGGAAATTCCTGGCAGGAGATGGAAATTTGGGAAGGGGAGAACCCAAGGTGTTTCTCTCTTCTCTGCTTCTGGAGTGGCTGTGTCTCTTCTATAGCTCCAGCTCCTGCCTGGACGTTCACTCTTTGTGGTTCAGTTCCATCCTGCCACCTTTCCTTTCCCAAGGTTCTAGCTCCCACAGGGTAGATCTGGCTGCTATTCAGATAATACCATCTCTTCTCTGTTCCTCAAGCCTCCTAGGCAGTAGTAGCTTCTTGTAGTTGTTACATTCTGGGTAGCCTCATTAGCACTTTTTTAAAAGTTCTTACAGCATCTCTGTAACTAGTTATTTCCCTGTATTAAATTTCTTCTATTGAACTATCTAGCATGGGTTTTGTTCTTTTTACTAGACCTTGATGATACTGATTTAACATACCAAAAACCAAACCAAACCATACCTGAGACAGCAACTAAAATTCAGTAAGGTATGAACAAGAAAAACTATAAATGGAGTTACAGTATTCAACTGCATGGGAAGTTGTAATATAAGAAGAGCCAGTCTGGGATGCATTTAAACTGCAATTTTGATGATATTCACAGATGGTCCCAGGTGTAGTAAGAAGTACCCAGGAGGCCTAGGCAAGGACTTGGTCTAAGAATAAATTTTAAACAATTCCCACTACACCATGATAATAAAGATCTGCATTTATTCCTGATCATAACTAAACTCATGAGGACTATAGTCATGGATATAGACATCCCCCCACCCCCAAAGGCAAATATAAGGTTGTAATCCATCCACTTAAAAAACAAACAACAACAACAACAAAATTAAACAGCTCATCTTGTTAAACTGAACGTCCTCTACAGACTTTATAGAATTCTCAGATGTGGCAATGTTCTGCTAGGATGCTACAGGACATTGTCACAAGAGACGGGACAAGGAGCCTATGTGGTTGACTTATTCGCTTACTCAGCTTATTCTCATGTACAGATGTCAAGGAACTGTGGAACTAAGAGCTCAGATAAATGAACTCTGTATTTGGAGTCCAAGATATACTTTCTCACTGTATAGACAAGGAAACTGAAGCTCAGAGTGTTCAGTAGACCACTGTGGATACAAGAAGCATTAGGAAGGTTAAGTGCAGATCCTTGAGATTCATGGGCAGAAAAACACCAAGGGCACCTACTTCTGACGGAGAGCAGAGGTGAAATTTGGGCACGAGGTGATGATGGATCACAGGTCAAGAGGATGCTGGTGTTGGTAAGATTGTGTCGGTAGGAGTGTGTTGCAAAGGTCAGTAATGTATTTTCCGTAAGAGTGTAATTTCTCAAGATGGTGGAAATTGTCTAGGAAACGTTTTTGTCAAAGGTACTTATTTGGCCCAGCCAGAGTGGCTCAGTTGGGTGAGCATAGTCCTTTGCACCAAAAGATTGCTGGTTCGATTACTGGTCAGGGTACATACCCAGGACACCAGTTGCACGTTCGATCTCCGGTTGGGGCATCTGTATAGGGAAGGCAACTGGTTGATGTTTCTCTGTCATCTCTCTCTCTCTCTCTCTCTCTCTCTCTCTCTCTCTCTCTCTCTCTCTCTAAGTATGTCCTCAGTTGAGGATAAAAATAAATAAAAGATGCATATTTGGAGATTAGGGAAATAATATTAGTGATACAGGTGATTTTCTGGATTAGGGAAATGTCCTAAAGGGGTAAGTTTTGACTTGGGCAGAGACACATGTTCGCCATGTTTTAGCAGAGGCAGGAACTGGGGTGATGTGTTTGCTTTTGACTCATGTAGTTGGAGGCTCTTTTTTCAGATTAACTGAGTCCATTGCCAAAATCTGTTCCAAGAAACAACAGTTTGAATGATACTAGTAAATAACCAAAGCCCAGGGGTCCTTGCTCCTCAGGGAAACTGATCAGTTTTGCACTTTAGAACAATTACTTTTCTGACTTTAGCAGAAGATAGAGAAGGTTTTCCAGCTTTGAAAATTAGAATGTGATGTGACCCTATATCAAAGCTGACTTGTAACCCACGGGCAAAGTTCAGGATCACCCAAGCTGTTAGTTAAGGATAAAGTTAAGAATGCCAGCTTACTGATTTTCAGAAACATTTATGAAGTATAATAATCTTACAAG